AAGACTGTAGCTACCAAGACCAAATGAATATTTACCAACCTTTTATGTCCCTGAAGCAATAAGAATTGTTTTTAATAATAATGCACATTTTACCATCATTAAAGACATTTCAAATATGGATCCATGGTCACCAAAAGCCACCTAAATATCCACTGTGTTGAATAATCAGTATGAAATATAGCTGAGATTCTTGAAGTCTCCTACTGTACTCTCAAACTCCTTATCCTTCATACATAGCTGCTGGCTGACAGCTGCTACTATCATCAATCATAGAATGACAGAATATCTCAAGTTGGAAGGGAACTACAAGGATCATTGAGTCCAACTCCCTGCTCCTTGCAGGACTACCTAAAACTAAACCATATGAATAAGAATACTGTCCTTGAACTCTGACAGGCTTGGTGCTGTGACCACTTCCCTGGGGACCCTGTTCCAGTGACCTTCCACCCACTCACTGAAGACCCTTTTCCTCATGTCCAATCTGAATTTCCCCTGTTGCAGCTTCATTCTATTTCTTTGTGTCCTGGTGTCACTGGTCACCATAGAGAGATCAGCACATTCCCCTCCTCTGCCCCTCATAAGGAAGTTGTAGACTGCCATGAGGTCACCTCTCAGCCTTGTCTTCTCCAGAGAAATACCTGCACCAAATGTAGTCCACATGCAAAAAGACAAACATAAGCTTTAAACTCCTTTTTTTTCATTGTCTCTTTCTTAATGGGTATTCTTAAGAGTGTTCATGCCAGATTAAATTGTTGGTCTCAACTGTAAGTAGCTCAACCACATTAAATGCTTTGTACCGTCTTTCGAGCAGAAGGTACTATTTTTCTGTATTCTGTTGAAATAATATGAAACTTCACACAAACCAGATAATTAAGCAACCCATTTTCTGTCCTCTTTTTTTTTTTTTTGAGCAGATGATACACAAGTGTGGTTTGTCAGGGTTTTTTTCCCTTTGTTCTTCCTTACAGTTTCTCAGTTACCGTGCCAATTAGCAGGAAAAATTCTTACAAGTCTATGTCAAAGGCTGACCTCAGTCAAAATTGGACTGCAATAGATTTCAGTCATAAAAATTATAAGAGGATAAGGTACACTTTCTTTAAGATCAGAAATCAATTTGAAAAACATTTATAGAGAAAACAACATTTGACCATGGCTATAAAGAGGCTCATGAGCTCTACTGCAGTCCCAGACAGTGCTATAGAAACCAAGCCTGGTGGAAACATATGTGAAAAATTCATGAATTTGTCGTGAATATACTCTCTTATTTGGTCAGAGTTAAGAAGCAAGAAGGTATGACTGCATTTGCTCCCCCCAGCCCCCATATAGCTGCCGCAGGCTAATAAATGCCCAGTGAGAAAAGCATAGTGAAATGTACCCCCACTATTATTTCTTCTCAGGAATGCACTGAATTTTTATTTTTATACCCACGTTTGGTTTATTAATGTTCACTTTAAACACTTTTCTGTTATGGCTCTAATGTTCTAGAAAAAAATGCCTAAAGCCAAGTTTTAGTTTATTTTAGTTTTTTTCCGCTCCTGAAAGCATACATGTAGCTGCAAGTACCAAAGGTGTTTATTGCATTAACTACATCACTGAATAACAGAGACACCAAGGATGCCTTGAGCCATTGCTTTACAACACTTTCTGATCACATACCACTATGTAAGGTATAAAAGCAGTCACGGAGCAACTTCCCTTCTCAGCTTCACAATTCTCTTGTACTTACGCTGAGTGACAACATCAAACTAGAGTATAGTAGAGGCTTGCAAGGAGACACAACTTTAAAAAGTTCAGGGTAATGGATAGGTGCAGCTTTGTGGTTATCTTTCTTTTCCTCCTCCACTGAGATGTGAGATTTTATGTATTTTGTAAAATCTAAGCTTGAATCATTGTTCAAGAGTTGCTCTCCTCCAGTTTCTCCAGACTACTTTATAGTCTGGGTCTAGCTTCTCCAACTACTGTCCCAGTTTTATTGTAAACTTTGTCAGCAGAGTTTTATCATGGTTGGAATTCTATCTGTCAGCAAGAGATATTTGTTCAGCAGACTTCAGCTCCTGTATAGCCATCCAAATAGCCAAATTTACACTTTATGAATAAAAGAGAGCTACCCTTGAAGACTGAATGTACCAGTGAAAATGCCTACTGTGGTGACCACTTCCCACTTCATTTGAGAACTTTCTGGCTTTGAAGTACCCTCCTCCAAGGACCTCCTGGAAATGCTCTTTAAACCACTTGCTGATCATTGAGAATCCAACTGTTACTACAGAAAAAATATCTATCTTAATATTACCTTTATTTTGAATAATAAAAACTCTTACGAGTCAAGTTTCATACAGGACTGTGTAGTTTTCCCTCATGGAAGACACTGTGCCAGAGAGAAGTGTAGCAGGACATCCTTCCTCTCTGGAAGGAAACGGGAGACCTGGCCACCCAGGATATGGATAAGGCTGAGCTACTGAACAACTTTTTGCCTCAGTCTTCACTGGCAAGGGCTCTTACCACACTGCCCAAGTCACAGAAGGCAAGAACAGGGGCTCTGCAAATGAAGAACTGCCCACCTTTTAAGAAACCTGGAAATGCCTAAGTCCACTGACAAAATCCATCCACAGGTCCTGAGGGAGCTGGCAGACAAAGCTGCTAAGCCGCTTTCCATCACATTTGAGAAATCGTGGCTGTTTGGCGAAGTTCCCACTGGCTGGATAAAGGGGAACATAACCCCAGTAGTAAAAAAGGAAAAAAAGAAGACCCAGGGAACTATAGGCCAGTCAGTCTCACCTCTGTGCCTGGCAAGATCATGGAGCAGATCCTCCTGGAATCTCTGCTAAGACACATAGAAAATAAGGAGGTGATTGGAGACAGCCAACATGGCTTCACCAAGGGCAAATCGTGTCTGACAAATGTGGTGGCCTTTTACGATACTGCCACAGACTTGGTAGACAAGGGCAGAGCAACAGACATCATCTACCTGGACTTATGCAAACATTTTGACATTGTCCCACATGACATCCTAGTCTCAAAATTGGAAAGTCATGGATTCAATGGATGGACCACTCAGTGGATAAGGAACTGGCTCGATGCCTGCACTCAAAGGGTTGTGGTCAATGGCTCAATGTCCAATTGGTGGCCACTGACGAGTGGTGTTCCTCAGTAGTGCTGTTCAACATCTTTGTTGGAGACATGGATGGTGGGACGGAGTGCACCCTCAGCAAGTTTGCTGATGACACCAAGCTCAGTGGTGCGGTGGACTCGCTGGAGGGAAGGGATGCCATCCAGAGGGACCTGAACAGGCTTGAGATGTCGGCTCGCGCAAACCACTTGAAGTTCAACCAAGCCAAGTGCAGGGTCCTGCACCTGGGATGTGGCAATCCCAGGCACAAATACTGGTTGGGCAGAGAATGGCTGGAGGGCAGCCCTGAGGAGTAGGACTTGGGGGTGTTGGTGGATAAGAGGCTCAACATGAGCCGGCAATGTGCACTGGCAGCCCAGAAAGCCGACCTCATCCTGGGCTGCATCAAGAAAAGTGTGGCCAGCAGGTTGCAGTAGGTGATTCTACCCCTCTACTCTGCGTTCATGAGATCCTACCTGTAGTACTGTGTCCAGCTTTGGAGTCCTCAACACAGGAAGGACATGGACTTGTCGGAATGGGTCCAGCAGAGGGCCACAAAGGGATGGAGCACCTCCCGTATGACGACAGGCTGAGAGAGCTGGGGTTGTTCAGCCTGGAGAAGAGAAGGCTCCAGGGAGACCTTATAGCAGCCTTCCAATATCTGAAAGGAGCCTGTAGGAGAGCCTGAGAGGGACTCTTTGTCAGGAAGTGTAGTGACAGGACAAGTGGTTTTAAATTGGAAAAGGGGAGATTTAGATTAGATACCAGAAAGAAATTCTTTACTGTGAGATCGGGGAGACCCTGGAACAGGTTGCCCAGGGAAGTTGTGGATGCCCCATCCCTGGAAGTGTTCAAGGCCAGGCTGGATGGGGCTTTGAGCAGCCTGGTCTAGCGGGAGGTGTCTCTGCCCATGGCAGTGGGGCTGGAACTAGATGATCTTTGAGGTCCTTTCCAATTCTAACCATTCTATGATTCTATGATTAAAAGAATGAAAATCATACTTTATGGGGATTTTGTTCCTTTAGTCATGAAGACTGCTGAGCTAATAATCATGGAGATTATTAGCATGTTTCCTCTGGGTTTTGCCATGAGGTTCATCAGGCCTGTACTGACCAGAAGGGAAAAAGCCACAAGGATAATTCACACTGGCAGGCTCTCATGACCACACTGCACACAGCTTGCCCTCGCTGCTCTGTGGCAGATACGGCTTGTGGAGAGCCAGTCTCAGGAGGAAGCTGGAACCCCCCCAAAAAAGAGTCAAGAAACAAGCTAGTAACTGTGCAACAGATGCAACCAGGCACCTAGCTCTTTAGCTGGCTCTTGACCTCTTTGTTCATCAGTGGCAGACATACAGTAGTGCCTGGATTAAGGTGTTTCCAGGCCATATTAAGATTTGGAAGCCAGCTGGCAGCATCTGTTCTAACACAGCCCCTCACCCTGCTTTGGTTTTGCTAAAATCTCTTACTTAATTCTTTCCGTGAGCCTATTCTAAATCCTGTACTTTATAACTGGAAGTCACTTCATTTATCTCCCTGTCCTTAGAACAGAGGAAGCCATGGTGGTAAATGTGACTCAAATAATACTGCCCACCAACGTTCATTTATAATATTCATTCAAGATTCAGTGTTATAGTTGAAGTAATAGTCTCTAAATTAATCTGATATTTCGGTCTTCTGTAATAAATTTGTTTGCTAACTTACACATCCCAGTATCAGTTCTGGAGAAGAACAGATATTTTTTGACTTCTCAGAATCTTTATGAACCTAAAGCTTGTGAGAGAACAAGAGGGGAAAACTTCATCACTCTTATCAGATGGTAGACTGTCCATTTGGCACTCAGCCTGGAAACTTGCAAACTCAATTAAATGCACATATGGTCCGTAGCAAGCAGAATCAGTCTTTGCCAACACACATCCCTCCTACAGCACTTCCAAACTGTACCCACGCTAGATAGCTTTTTCCACATAGATGATTTTTTCCACTTCTCCAGCAGCATCAGCTCAGCATATTGTCTTCTCTGCCCTGGAAGAATATAGGGAAGAATGCCAAGATGAACATCAGTTTGAACTCCACAGGGGTGATTTTGCTATCGAGGAGCTTTTGTTGAGGAAGACAGGTATGGAGATACCTAGATTTAATGAGTAGTGCTGGTAGAATTAATAAATCTTCTCAATACTCCCTGAAGCAGCTGCTCTATTTTGAAATAATGAGCATATGGTTTCATTATATTTCATTGATTTGATTCCCTTCAGCTAAAGAAATATTTCAGGGGAATGCAAACAACTTACAGAATTTCTGCATGTTTCTCACTCCTTTTATTTTTCCTGGCTAAACAGAAAGCTGACTAGCATGTGAAAGGAAGAGCCAGAGGCAGCATTCAGATTCCTTAATAGGGGTTGCATGGGGGGCAATGGGGCCTCTGACAATAATGAGGACTTGTGTGTGCCTTGAAGTTACAGTGCTTGGAGGTTCCCTTAAAGGTTTTGGTTCTGTGAAAGAAACTGTGTGAAAGAAACAAGCTCAAGCTGGACTAACCCTACTTATAAGCTGTATTCTTTATTTTAAATTTCTCTCCAGAGGCAGGAAATGGGCAGGGAGGAGGGCGAGAAAGCACCAAAGCAGCTTGTTAATCTAACACGCTCAAAATTTATGGAAAGAAAGGAAGTTGTGAGATAATTTTAAATTGTCTACAAGAACAAACCTTTCAAAGCAAAGCAAAACATGTTTTACTTTCTCAGTTGCTAGAGCCATTTCTCCGCCCAGCTGTTTAGAGGGGAAACTGAATTCAATATTTTATTCACTGTGCATCCTGCTACTGACATTAGAAAAAATGAATCCTGAAGTGAAAGTGAAGTGAAAGTCACTTGCATTTTTTTTTATAAGATCTTTCTGGAAACTGGTATCTGGCAGCTGCAAGCTCACAAGCTATCTTTTTAAAGAAGCCAAAAGAAATACGGAAAACTTATATACGTTTTCATTAGGAAACTGGATAGTCTTGGCAGCTCTGGGGTCTGGAGGTCAGGAGCCATTCCTGGAAAGGCTTGTGACTGACAGGGAGGTACTATGTTCTGCTCTGTCAGCTGTGGGGAAGATGAAAATTCTGCTTCTAGTTACTTGGCTCCCTTCCTTATGTGTTGCCACTACAGTATTCTGCAATATACGTATATTAGTATGTTCCACCAGTATATGCATATGTTCTATATGTATATATATTTGTGCAGCTATAAGTATACATATGTATAGATATGCAGTATATATTATAATTTTTGAGAACAGCAAATCACGAAATAACAGTTAGCAAGATTGTGTTTCTTTACCTGGAAAAGCATTATAATTTTGCTGAAAGTGTTTCCGTTTTCCTTCTGCATTTTTATTTTAATAAAATCTGATTTTAAGAATCCCCTTGAGACTTAGAGACATTTTCCCATGCTGGTATTTTAGAAGGAAAAAATCCATCTTTCTTCTGATGCTGCAGCAGCTTACATTTTCAATCTGCTGCAAATGCCTAGTGCTGCATCATGTAATTATTGACCTTGTGAAACCAAAGCAAAAGGATTCACTTCCAGGTCTTTGTCACATTTGAACCAATAAGCTCTAATTGGAGATCCAGGCCTGTAAACTACAAGACCAAAAGGAAAGGCATGGTGGTATTTTCCATACATAAGAATTCAGTGCTTCTTAGGACAAGAAGCTGTATACTTCAATTTCTTTCAGCAGAAATAAAAGTGGTCTGTGTTTTGATGGATTGCAAGTTGATACTAGGATCAATCAAAGCCGTCTTTTTCTCTCTTAGAGCAAGGAAAATAAACTTGAACATCACAGACAGTGAAACAACACCATCACAAAATGCCTGTCTTTAGAAAGCAAATTAATCTCCTCTGCCCTTAAAATGTATCAAAAATATTACAGTTGCTATCAAACTAAATTACAAAATTTATTTCAGCCTCTGTGGTCCTGCAGACATTGTGGCTCAGTGATGTCTGCTCTTTTTTTCTGACATGCAAGCAGCAGGGAGACAGATGAATGCAGTACCTCTTTTTTTGTGACACAATCCATACATTATTAATTTTTGTATTGTTGCTCTAAAGCTGTGAAACAGATGCCATTCAGAACTGAAAATCACTGTTCCGATATGAGCAGACGCAGTCCCTGAGCTACCCAGTCAACTAATTAATGCTGCATAATTTAATAAAGGATGGTGATTACTGAGTTTTCCCCATCTTGTTCCCCTCCCTGCTAATGATAACATTATCGAACTTAGGCAGGGGGTAGTGAGTGTGTGTGTGTGTGTAGGGAGATAATTTACAATGAAAGAGGATGAGTAAGCAGATGAACCAGGAAATGGCTCGATCTAGGAAAAGGCTGCTAAAATCCTCTAATTTTTTATTTAGGGGGATCCTGCAGAACGCCATAGTGTTAAGCAGAATAATATTAATAACACTGTCATTAAAAGAGGTAAAGGGAAATTAGAGGAAAAAAGTTAACCTTCCATGCTTTTATTTACTAAGTGTTGCTTTACATTTCATTTTTATTCAAATCTTGCTTAGGAGGTAAATGTGGACAGAAAGGGAAAGTCTCCTCCACAGGCTTTTTCCTCTCTCCCTTGTTACCTCTGAGTGGGCAACGGATGATGTCAATTATAGCAGGATCAATCTCAGCAGCAGAGATAGTTCCTTTAGGCATTCTTCAGTAGTCCCACCATATGGTGCTAGTTTTTCCGTATTCAAAAGAAGGTGCCAAAAGGTGCTGCAAGCAGCAATACATTAATCTAAACTTCTGAAAACTCAACCTGGCACATAAATTCTCTTTTACATAAAATATCTCAGAGGACTCCTAGCACACCTGTATATCCCCTGTCCAACTAACAGATTATTTAATTCATTACAATCTGGTCACATAAATTCTACGTTTTAACCCCTTTCATTTGGTCAATGCTCAAAGACCTCTCAGAAGAAAATATAGATAGATAGATAGATAGATAGATAGATAAATACATAGATATTTAAAGTAAAAAGAAATTAAGCAATAACAAGCTATATAATAACTACAGTGCTGGCAAAATCTGATAAGAAAAGAAGAAAATTAAGAGTTTTTTCTGTGTTAACAAGGTTCATTGGTTAAAAATACATATTCATTGCATTATCATCTTAGAATCTGAATAGCTGTATTATTGTTTTTAATGTTTGAATTTTTAACCATATTTGGAGCCTAAATATCTTATTCGGGAAAAGTTGCAAAATAAGAGTGATAAATTAAATTATTTATTACTCAACTTCAGAACTTTTCAAACAACTCTCGATTGATAAACTTTAGAGTACTGTTTAAATGGAAAATCTAAATTTAAGAGATAATATGCAAAACTTTATTTTTTCTTAGGTTTTCCATAGATGCAAAATATATTTTCAGGCCACAAAATAGACTAAAATACAGATGAAACTGGTTTCAATTGAGAATCTGAACACCTAAACTCATACAGACTAACCTCTCACATTCAGCCTAATTCTGAATGCACTTAGCTGCCTTCTCAAGGAGGAACAAGGATGCTATAAAGGATACTTTGATGGGGAAAGAAATAATATCTTCTCTTACATGCAGCAGGTTTTTGGAAGGCTTTGACTCCTGGGCCTCTGATTTATATTCCTATAGAGCCCACTCTTCCCTCTCAGCATAAAAGAATTACTTCCTTTAGAAATGAAAATTCTTCTCCATTTCTTATTTACTTGAATATGCTTGACAGGTTGATCAATGTAAAACATTTTTTTTTCCTCCTTTTTTCCTGATACTAGAAATTGAGACACTGACAACCATGAACCAACCCCTCCAGATCGGCTGTTTCATACCTGGCAGAGAAGAGATAGATGTTCAGGCGTTTCTTTTCCCCATTTGCCAAACCAGTGCAGAGGAAAGACAAAGGATATCTATCCACATCCAGCAGCTGGAGCAAAGGGAAGAAGGACACTAGAAGAACTGAAGTTTTCCTTCCAGTCCTATTTCCCATCAGTCTATTCATACATTCTTCTTCTGGTGGGACAGTCAAGGAACAGCAATGGTGTTTTACATATTTTTTCTTTCTGAAATCCTGAAAAGTCCTTATCATCCACTCTGTGCAATATACCATGACTCAAAACTCCTCAGGTCTCTGTTTTTGTTAAACTAATCTCTTGGGACCAGTAGTGTTTGGAGTACCATAGTAACACAAATCACAGTTCAACTCCTTATGTCTAGCAAAATAAAATTTAATTTAAAAAAAAAATACCAGATAAAGTATATAACAAATTTCCATGCAGGAACTGGTGAATATCATGAAATGTAGTGTTTCAGAAATGAAAGCTATTAAAATTGTATAACCCGTAATTGATGTCTTTGGTCTGAAGACAGTAAGAGTCTTTATCTGATGGTCATTCTGGATGTGGTGGCAAAAGGTACATCATTAGACAAAACAAAGAGATATTAATGCATATAATCAGTGGTTCTAAACAAAAGGAAGTCTGAAAGGAAAGATACAAAAAGAAGTCTGAAACCAACCAAATCATCCTGGCTGCAGAATATGAACAGCTCTTTAAAAATGAGTAATGCCAATTTCCAATGAGGGAAACTAAGTATACTTGGATAGGAAAAGATGAGAATTCCTTTGAATCTTGTCAGAAATTAAACTAATAAAGTGTTGCATTATTTCTCCTGTCAGCAAGCAGGGAAACCCATGACTGGGCTTGGACTATGGCTTTCTTTTCATTACAAGAGACAGTCTGGCCCCAGCTTAGCAGCGTACGCATACATGCACTGAATTATAAACACTTGCGTAGGATCATTTGGATATACTCAAGTAGAGACTCTGAGGAGAGAAATCTGCCTGAAATCACTCACAAACAAAACAGGAAGTACAGTAGTGCCACCTCACAATCCCATCAATTTAGGGAAAAAAATAAATTGATATATCCCTTTTATTTTATTGTAACCTTGCCATGGCTATACTAGAACAGAGTCTGATTCCACTAGCTCTGACCTGAGTAGGCTTGAGGCTTTAGTACACCATATTGTGACAGGACCATTTTGGTATACATTAAACATTATGTGCATCTGTCATGTTGGATATAGATAACACCAAGAACAAAAAATTGCATTTCAGAAAGACTTTTGGGTTTCAAGTCATGTTCATTTTGTATGAAATTTAATGTTTGTTTTGCACAAAATCCAAAATGTAAAAAATCTTTGTAAAAAATATTTTAAGATATTTTGAATCCACTGAAACTGAAACAAAGAAAACCAAGATACTTTATTATGAAAATGTGAAAATACAACGTTTTGAAAGTATCAGAGCTCTTTGCCTTCTTCTTGTTTCTTCAGAAGGAATGTATCAGAGAAGTAGACACATTCATTGACAGACTACTATTTAGTATCAAGATGTTTCTGACAAGCCGTAGCATGAAGATTTATTTGCGTTACCTTTTGTCTGCCTGTACCAAACACAAAACAAAGAAATGCAACTACATTACCAAACTATATTGATTAACTTCAATATCTCATCTTTAACACTAAAGACTCTAGATGCATCTCCATGGTAGGATCCATGGTTTTATACAAATACCTGACCTAGTGCCTCCAATAGATTTTCAAACAAGCAAAAAAATTGTCCTCTTTCTAAATTTGCAGTAGTGACATCTGTGCTTTGTATGATTACAGTATTCCTTCTCCTCAGGCTTGCTGACTAAACTTTCACCGAAAAAGGGCACTTTTTCATTGCTAATATAATGTTAGTAATTAAAGAACATTTCTTAATTTCTTTCTTAGAAATTTTTTACACTATCACTCTTTCATTAGGTTAGTTAGTACTTTAAAGATATAAATACAAATTTTAAACAAGGTTGGACTGCAACAAGACAAATTCAAACAATACAACAACAACAACAATAGCAATAAAAAATAAAGATAATAACATTCATACAACTAGAATCTTTTAGAGGATAGAATTGTTATAATAGTTCAAATGCAGTACCAGAGTTTTTTATCCCTCTAAAATAGTCTCTGTTGGTCGAGACAGTTATTAATAGAAATAAATAACAATATCTTGACCTGATGAGATTTGAAGGCAGATGAAATTACTCTAGACTGAAGTAGAGCTTTCATAAACTGTGAATTCTTGAGCCAGAAATCTTTCTCCAGTTTTATTGCAAGTGAATCTCGGATGTTACCTTATAAAATTGCAGACATAAAATACAATTTTCAAGTTGTTACATGGTTACAAATTAATATGTAATGTGTTGATAGTCATTTGATAACTCTAAATGAGCAATAAAGAATGTTTCAATGAAAAAAAAGCATCATTATTTCATATTATGAGTCCAAATAGTGAAAAGCCTCTTATAAAAAGGCAAAGAATGTAATAAAATCATAAATAAAGTGATATCTCAAATATTCGCAGACTAAGTCCTGGGGAGTTTGACTCTATTAAATTCACAGCAATCAACATTACATGGCTAAATCTTTGTAGGACAACATACTTTTTGCAGGACATGTGTGTGTAGTTGTTGTGTAGTTACAGCAGGTTGTAGTTCATTTTTAATATGAAAATATTACAGAAGGAAATAATTCACTCTAATACTGGGACTTGTTTTGATAGCACATAATAGTTATGAGTATTATTGCTTATGGATAACACAGCAGGAAAATATACAGAATCTGATCATAATAGCTAGCAGAAGATGACAGAGATGACAGATATCCTAGCTCTGCTGCTCAATTTGTTTCTTCATATCAATTTCCATTATAATTTCTATCAACCTATCCCCCTATGTTTTGATTTACACCCACTTGCTAAATATGTTCTGTACTCTACTCTTGAATTACCAGTTAGCCTTTTCTTGACACGAAGCTACTTATTATGGATATTATGGCACTATTATAATACGAAGGTTTTTATTCAAAAAATAAAAATATTACACTACTGGGAGCCCAGGTGCTGTATGATTCAGTGAGCAGATGTTTTCAAAAGTGGCACAATGCATTTTTCTACTGTGTTTTTAGAAGAATTTTCCTGTGATCTTAGCATTCCATACTGCTTTATTAAGCATAAATATCTCCTGTGTCTTCTACTGTTAGCGGTAGATGAGTGGCAGTTCCTCAGTTCTTGAAATGGAGGATGACGTGCTATTTCATCCTATTTACTCAAAGAAAGGACAGAAGGAGAAAAAAAGTAGCTATGGACTTCAAACACTTGCCAGTGACAAATTATTTCAGATCCCCTTTGGAACTATTAATAGCCACTGCTGCAATTTCAGCTCTTCCCCAATGAGGGGAAACAATTTAAATTAACTAGTGCAGTGGGTGGTGAGAAACTCCTTGATGCATCTCATGCATTTTTCATCATTATTTTATGCAATTATTTGCAAAGAAAGAGTGCAACAGCAAAGATTCCCTTTCAATTCCTCAAACTCCATCTGACTACACTTTAATTTCTTTATCAGTTCTTCTAGGCAATGTACATGTTGCTGTATTTCTGTAGATTTTGAGCATCTGATCTGCAGATTAAATTTGTAACAACAGTTCACAGCACAAAGTCACCCTGAGCTTTGCTGGGGTGGGGAGGGGGAAATCTCTGCTTTCCCTCCTGAGATGACTCAGAACTGATGTAAGATAGAAGTTGAGTCTCAGATGGCTGCATGAAAATTGTCTCACAGAGCTCAAGGAGTCCTGGTCAATCTTCCTCACTTTATCTAGCGTTTTGCTCTTTTCAAAGTTCAGTTTGTGCTTGAGGCTAGAGAGAAAACTGGAAAAGAAGCCAGAATGATTGCTGGCAAGACACAAGTGGCATTAGGACTGATACTCTGCCAATCAGAAGATATTTTTCTATATGGTAAGGATATTTCCCTGTAGGTTTCCTGCTGCTAGTTTGTTTATTCAAAATAGTAATAATTTTCAGTCTGGTCCATACAGCATGTGGGCATTAAGAACAATTAAAGCAAAGAACACTGTCAGCAAATTCCATATTAACAGGTATAACTTCTGAAAACAGAATAGTCATGCCTTTGCTTAAAACATTGCCAGTTAGTTATAGGAGGCAGCTGCCATTACTGTGGTATTTCAGAGCTCTTCCTGAGGCAAAAACTGCTGCAAGTGCAGTGGTAATTTTATTTAGTTATGGACAGAATTGGAAAATGTTCAGTTGCAGCCAAGAAAAATTTTAGCTAAATGCTGAGAAAGCAGCAAGCTGGTTTCCTGGCATATTCAAAAAGGTCATTGAAAGTCACTTCCACAGGTGGTGGTGTTTTTCTGAGGATAACTAACTGGTAGAAAAGGGTGGAAGTGATTAATAGTGTGTGTTGTGTTGTACGTGAATGTCTTGTTGTCACAGAAGTTGTATGTGCGTGTCAGGAGCAGAACCAGTGAGGCTGATATCATGAAGGAAACAAGCCATCTTGAAACACAGTTACACCTTGTAAAGCCTTACTGGCATATCATGTCTGTCAGTAAAGAAAACTACCATGACCAAAACTGTCAGGCAAATCAACTGCTCTCCTTACTACAAAATAAGCTATATTTGCTCAGTGTGTGTCAGAAGAAGTTTATTATGCCATTTTATATACCTTGTGGTATCCAGGATGTGTACACAAAGACAATATATATAATAAAGGATCTGTTATCCACCTTAGGCCTTGTGGAACAGCAGCTGACAGACAGCTGAGATGCTTTAGGGGACAGAAAATGACAAGGAGAACCTGTGTTTAAGCCAAAGAACCTCACCCAAAGTGTCTTGCTGTTTGACTGTGAGAATCTTCTGAACAATAAGCCTACCATTTCCAGGATTCCCCAGAGCTTGGTGGCTCAGTTTCTATTCATACCTGTGCTCAGGAAGAATTTAGAAGAGATACTTCTTCCAAAAAAACCCAAAACTGCACATTCTAAAATGATCACAATTCATAGTGGTCTGCCATATGAAGAACTCATTTGTGAGTGGCAAAAGTAAGCTAATTTTCTCACTTAGCCTGCAAGAACTTACATCCACCCTTTTTCACCTGTTAGACTGGACTGAGGAAGATAAAGTCAAACAACAAGTTTAGCTTTGCAAGTCCTAGCTTAGAAAATCTGGGTCTTCTCTGAAACAAAGGAAAACCACTATACTTGATATGCTTTAGTCAATCAACCCCAGCTGCTGAGTGCCTATACCATTTCTTTTCTACACACTTGACAAATACACTTAGTTTACTATAATTTATACTTGAATCATTGATAACTTCTTTGAAATATATTAAGGAATCTGAGATACATTTAAGGAACATAACAATCTGTTTCAACCATCTTGATGGAATTGCACCTTTTTAGAGAATGGAAAAGGATGGGAACAAAACAGGTAAGGAAACAAAGGCATCAAAACTAGTGATAAGCAACACAGCAGAATCCTGGAGCTGCTCAAGGCAGGTCTAGCCCATAAGCTGTATCCCTGCAGAAGACACAACCATCCCTCTTCAGAAGTGGATGAAGGGAAATGTTGAGGGTTTGGACAAGGGTAGGATTTAAAACTTTCTTAACCACTAACCTTTGCATTCAGACTCAGTCAAGACTTTGCTCCACAGTAGAAATATAATTACCTAAATTTTCCTGCACTAGAAAAAAGTCTGGTAAATACTTAGCTTCCTTTCCGTTCTTGTTTCTATCCTTTTCTCTCTTACCAGTTGAATATTCTGCCACATGCATTTTAATTTTCTGTTATAATCTGAACAAGAAGACTATTGAATGATCAGTAAGGATGAAATCATCATCTGACATCTGAAAGCTTTAATTTGCCTCAATGAACATTTACTGTTAGAGCTTAGTCTAAGGAGGACTAATTAATTAGAAACTAATCCTCTTTTCATCAAGTAGCACTTGCTGGAGTTTGTACACTGTGTACACCACTGATGTAAGGCAGAAATAGCAGAAATAGGTGTGAAAGGCCTGGGTCTTATCAGAAGTTTTCAGACCCAAACCATGAAAAATAGCAGGCAGGAGTTGGGGAATATTTCCTTGGAAATGTGATGGTGATAATCAAGATCTGATGCAAAGGTGAGAATCAGGTTGTAAGTGGCATTTGGAAATTTCTTGATGCTGGAGTCATTTTAAGTTTCAAGAACAGAAGTGAAATACTCAAGAAAACTAGAAGATACAACAGAGGTTATATTATGATAACAATATTCCCTGAGATACACTTAAGGAATATACAATTCTGCTTCATCTTGGTGGAAGTGCAGCTTGCAAGAGGATGGTACAGTAAATTTCAGGGATGGGAACAAAGAAGGTAGAGGATCAAAGGCAATGAAGATCAAAGATATGAAGGGCATGATGCAAGGTCTTACTGTGCCCTCTGAAAGGCATATCCTCAAGTTTAGATAAGCCACATTTGTTCTCTTTATATCTGCTGGAGAAAAAGAAAGCCTTCCAAACAATGACTCAAACCATTTACCTTTAAATGCTTGTTATAGGAGGGATTTAGTTACCTGTTGGAGCTGTTGACTAGAGAACCTGGCTGAAGCAGTTAGAAAAATGCATCATTTTTAGATGGCAAAATGCTAAAAAGTAAAAAAAAAAAAAAAAAAAAAAAAAAATCAACAAGTTCCCTGCTTCAGGGCTGGTGACAGAGCTGGCTGCAGTCTGGTTTAGCCAGGGGAGGAGGGGAAACATGACAAAGATTTGAAACCCTATTTAGATTAAAATTTGGTATCAGCTTCTCATATGGTTTAAAATGCCTTTGCCTCTTCCCCTTATCCTCTTCTATAAATTTTTGCCTGAAAAAAAAAAAAAAAAAAAGTATGCACTGTGCCTGCTGTCTTTCATATATAGTTAGCCACTTTTTTGAAGATGAGTAGTTTTTCATTAGGATAAGAACACACATTGCTTGGTAGGTTAAATGCAGCCATACTCTTCATGCACTGCTGCGGAGTATCTAGAAACAGGAGGAAATTCAGATGAAAGAGCTGAGATAAAAGGCTGTACATAGGAAAAAAAAAAGATTTTTTTTAATATAAATTAATTAAAAACCAATGGCTGAGTTATTTTTAAAACATAATTTTTCTCACAAGGCACCTACAAGATATTACATAGTGCTTCCATTTACAATTATTTCCATTTATTCTTTGGTTGTAAAGATTCACCTGTCAGGAGACACTCACTTAACAGTTACAAGAAGTGGGATTTCTGTAGTGACTGATATATTTTAGATTGATGGGCATGAAGTGGCAAAACTGTGAAAAATTTAATCAAAATCTGGTTTAGATCACAAGACATGCTGCATCAGTTGTCTAACAATTTAGATTCTTTTAAGCATCTGAATTTCTATGTGGAATGA